GACAACTGGGCTCGTCGATAAGCTCTTTATAGCAATCGTCATCCGCCCAAGCTGGTTGTTTGATGCCAGGTTTTTGCTCAACGTGCGAAAGCACCGTTCGACGTGAGTTTAGAACATCATACAAATCAATTATGGCGAATGCCTCTTTGCATCCTCGGATTAATAGGTGCAATTTTGCACTGCACTCTTCGTCGGAGCAAGTCATCTTCGATGCGTTTAATTTCGTGCGAGATTACGAATGACCGAATCTCAGAGTCGAAAGCGTTTATACCCACTTTTGAGTGGGTGGTGGTGTAATGGGGTCAGTACTATTATGCAGGTTGTGTGAACCACTGAATCTGTTTATGGCTAGCATTCCCGATAATAGTTGCATAGTTGTATATTCCTCAATTCGGTTACATCAGAATCAAAGAAAATCATTTTAATGAGTTTTTAAGGCCTGTTGGCCATAATTAATGTCACTTTATCTGTTCCTCCTCGTTCGAATAGATCGACGGGTGAGCAACACGCATTGTAGTGTATAAACCGATTTTAGTCTTCTACAGTATGTGCGTGTATACGGACGTGCAATTTTTGCTACATAGAACATCCGGTATGTATACGGGGGAACTCTTGATACAGGTTGCAAGTGTTTGAGCCGAAGTTGCCATTTAATGTTGCCCTTCTAAGTATCGCAAAAGTAAAGTTGGGTTTCTCCAAAAATGACGTCCAAAGCGTTGAACGGGCTTTAATACAAGGCATACATCGAGGGATATCTAATCTTCACTGTGCCACTTGCGATTGCAAATTTTGATCGTCGATGCTAAGTTGACTTGACGTATGTCAGCCAAAGCAAAGCAATAAATAATTCATTTTCACGATAAGGGCTGGTATAGTCTCGTACCTCCGATTTTATGAAGTGTCAGGTATTGAGAGCTAGGCCAATCTCCTAGTTTGTTTCGACATTATCTTGAACGAGGACTATCATCCGCTGACTGGCCCAGACGATCATTCATGAATACATTGGAATCTCTATGACAATGTGAGTTAAATTAAACCGTATCCACCTCTTGGCCCATTGCTTCAAAGTGAATATGGATTTAGGTGCATACATTAGGCACAAGTACCTTAGTTCATCTCTAAGGGCTGTCTGCAGTAGTGATTAACGTATCTGTGGTTCTTCTTTATAGACGCTATCCATGGGGCCAATAACCCGCCAACTGGAAGGGAAGAAGGACTGTGGACGAAGACGCCGTCGAACCATGTCTATGTATACGCCCGATGGGGTCTGAACAAGTGCGGCACATGATGATTGAATGTTGCTGGTGCATTTGGCAGCCCTTGAGTATCACCAGCCACTTCCCGAATACCCCGCCCGGGGTACTCATCGCTTTCTGCGAAATATCAATCGCTCTCATGAGCGATTGTTGGTATCCATCGACCAAGTCGAATGCGCTGTACTCTGTACAGCCAACCATTTTGTTCTGGAGAACATCCTTTTTAAGATTCGGCGTCAATGCCGGAATGGTGACAGCGTTTAGCTTATTGAAGTAACGATACGCCGCTTGCCGTTCGGCTTCCGGACACAAAACGTGGGTGTCGAATGGGGAGACTTGCTCTCACGCATTATTCCTGTGTCGTGCTTTGCACGGAAAAGGTGTCAATGACGTCACACTGCTCTTTGGGCAGGATCCACTGGCGTATTTCGCATTATTTGGTTCCTAGAAGCAGGTTAATCTCATGACGAACACCTTGTTCCGGAGGTAGGACCGACGGCGGGTCTTTGGAGACAACGTCTTGGCAATCGTATACCAAAGAATAATACGGATCCGAATAATCCTTCATGATCCACTTCGTGTGTTCAGCATCTTCCTAGTGTCCTCCAGAACAGCTTCGCCCACAAGCGATGACGAGTTAATCTCCTCGTTCGGTCTCATAATGACCACCTCGGCTAAATTGCCTGCCTTCAAGGCACCGTTGAACCCTTCGAAGGATATCTCGTCCATCTCAAGAGGAGCATTCACCGCGGGAATAGCCTCGAGGGTGACGTTGTCGTCTCTCTCTCCTGACATACCGTTGACAAGGGTATTTAGCTGTGCGCTATCGTCTACGGTAGACACATCTCGGGTCGGGGTCGACGCCCTACATCTTGCAGTAGTCATGCGACTTTGCCGTCTCCTCTCTAAAGAGCTTTTACGTCTCATCAAGACCAGTGGGTAGGCGCACTTGGCTTCGTCCAGTGTCTCTCTACTCCCTGCTCCACCGGGGTCTTGATTTTATTAACAACACTCGACAAAGAGCTGCTAATTCCGCAGTTTTTGTCTAGTGGATTTGTTGCCAATACACGCGCATCACAAGGGCCTTGCAGTTGATGCCTCGAACCACGTCCGACCATGCCACTATTGGCATTCAGCAACTGCTATAACGTGTGAGAAGTGCTCAGTGGGTTACGTGCCACTCCACGTTCAGCCCGCGAGCCATGCTCGGGACTCTTTTCCAATACACCTTTAGTGTTTTTACAACTCAGATACTCCGATACCCAGCGCAATGACCGTCCCGGTACAGTGCCCGCGCCAATAAGCTTTTGCTTTCTAGCAGAGGTGGCTTCATGACTTACTAAAGCTGCACCAGGAGACGTGCGCGTAGCGCCCAACGTCTTCGGCCTCCAATCAATCCATGGCCTTTGGTGTTCTAACCATGCCATACCAAATAAGGCTATCATATCTTGCATCTAAGTCTACGAATAAGCAGTGTTCTACGCTATCAATTTCAAGAAACTTGACACCGAGGTCCACAGGCACCCTCGGCACAGTGTCAAAAGTCCCCTTCGCTAAGCGAACGGTGACGGTGTCACTCAACCGCGCTTACAGCGACTCAGCATACAACTGACTTCATTCGGTCGAGCAAAACTGCCCGACACACCGGAATCGATAAGGATCTTCCTCGGCTTTTCAAAGCCCTTCACGGTAAATTTTACGTCCAGCAAACCCGGCTTGCACACGCGTTCCGTGTCCAAGAGCACGGAGCACTTCGAAGCTGGGCCCTGCTGCCCTCCACCTCGTTGAGGCTTAACTATATTCTTTTCAAGTAGGGTGCCCTGCACCCTACTTGAATAGTCTAAAATTATACTTAGTAATGCAAGACTCGCATAAGTAGTGGGAAAATCACAATTTGGCGAGTGAGATGGCCAGTAAAGAGTGTAGCCGTGCCTTTGGGCCGGCGAAAAGCTGTATTTACATTTTAATTAGTAATCAAATGTATGTTTTTCTGTAGATGTACACCCACAACCAAGTCGTTTTGAACAAGTCTTGCATTGGTTCGATTTTCAAAACCATTGGACGACCCGACTTGATAGATATGATGAGAATATAAATAGCATGATAGCATCAGTAATATTGTTCAGAGGCACAACACAAAGACACTTCAATTGGTACAACGAGAATTTTGCATCATTATCAATAGAATTGAGCTGCAGCGGTGTTAACGTGTACTTTGAAGCTTCAACTTAAAGATGACGAGTCATCGAATGCAAAAGAATTGAGTTTGTAGATATATCCGCAAGAGAAGCCGAGAGACCGCAAAGTCTTTTTATAAATATTAGCCCTGAAACTATGAAAGTGACTTACGTGTAAATTTAACACATCGAGAATACGACCAAATATAGATGTTTACCTTATCGCAAACAAAAGCTGACTTTGTCACTTGGCGAACGACAAGTAGCCCACTTGTATCACGGACCACTTATTTATAAAGTCTTATTAATTTCATTAGTCTCAATCCTTCAGTACTAATGAGATTTAGCACTGAAATTTGTAGCATAAAAATGATAGCGAGTTTGGTAGTATTGTGCTTGATACAGTCTATACAATGGAGTTTGCGTACAATTGTGTCGTTGTTACTAGTTAAACTCCATAAGATGTACACACTTAGGGCTCATACTCTTTTTGTCATTAGAACATATTGTGCTAAGTGAATGCTCAACGAGTAGCCCGCTAAAATTGTCTTGCTGCTCTCTGCCGTGCCTTCTCCTCAAATGAGGCGCGATCCTTGTGGTCGGCGCTTTCCAGGCGATACTTGGTAAAGATTTTGATGTAATTTCCAATAAAAATGGCCCGGTGACCACCAGATTTGCGACCAAACCTTTTCGTCCTCCTTCGAAAACACATTAAGCCCTTTACCAATGCGGCATTCCAACAGCGGTAAATGTTGCAAATTCTAGCCGTAGACTCACAACGAATCATACTTGTCACCGATGAATTGTGTGCGTACCTGACTTTGAGAGCGTTGTTGGCTTCTCTGAAATGCAAGATACACTTCAATTTGTCGAATTCATTGCGTCAACATCACGATTTCGAGCCAATCAACGTTTCTCGCTGCGCTAGATCAGAATATTTTTTAAACTTGCGGGTATTTTGATCATACCAAAAGTGAAAAGAGAAGCAGAATTCTGCTTCACAGCTATTTTCATCCCAACAAGTCATCATCCTCAGAGATGCCGCCTACGTTTGAAGCTGCAGCGGTTAAGGAAGCCGTACCCTCCGTGGAAAAAACACTGGGTACTTAAAGCTATCAGGAGTGATGGTGACTACCGTGCGTCGTAAGTACAATGCTCGACGCAAACGTCGATGTGAATACCCGTGACTTCCAGCTCCCGCAGTTTACAGGGCAATACTAACCAGGAGGTCGATCCTCACTCACTGGTGGAAAGCGTG